GGTTACAGGATGGTGGTAAATCCTCCTTCGGAGCTGGACTCACCACGGAGCCGACCCTTGGCGGAGCGGGAGAAACTGGTTTCCTGCGTCAGCGGCCCGAAGCAGTTCCACATGTGCTCTGTTGTGACTTGGCTCCACAGACGGCCCCTCCCCGTACCCCACCCCCAGCCCAGCCCGCCCGAGCTCGGGCTGAGGAACCATTTGCGGGCTCCCCTGACAGAGGCATCAGCAAGCACAGCTATAAATAGCCGTATCAAAGGAACGAGATGGCCAGGCTGTCTGGATACCGGCAGCAGCCCTGCTCGTGCTGAAAGCTGGTGCCCGCGGCCTGGTCTCTGACCACAGAGACATCCCTGGGGTTCCTTCAATCAATCAATGGCCTTTCCCCGCTAATCCGGGTGGTTGCATTAGAGACTGCTGCAATGCACATGCTCCCCTCCCCACATTTGCTGCCCAGAGGGCAGAGGGATGTAAAGTGGGTTTGAGGACATGGACCTGCCCTCTGATAGCACAGCGCACCTGGTGTAACCCACGCTCGCTGTCTGGCTCTCGGCCCCCTCCAGGCCTGAACCGCACACAGAGGTTTGGGGCTTTGCTATGGGCAATGAGCTAACAAAGGGGGACCCTTTCATTCAGGCCCGTAGAGGGCTGCACTTTTAGGTCAGATGTCCTCACTGCCTCCCCTAAGGTTTCAGAGGAACAGCCGTGTTAGTCTGTATTCGCAAAAAGAAAAGGAGTACTTGTGGCACCTTAGAGACTAACCAATTTATTTGAGCATGAGCTTTCGTGAGCTACAGCTCACTTCATCAGATGTTTACCGTGGAAACTGCAGCAGACTTTATATACACACAGAAATCATGAAACAATACCTCCTCCCACCCCACTGTCCTGCTGGTAATAGCTTATCTAAAGTGATCAACAGGTGGGCCATTTCCAGCACAAATCCAGGTTTTCTCACCCTCCACCCCCCCACACAAATTCACTCTCCTGCTGGTGCTAGCCCATCCAAAGTGACAACTCTTTACATAATCAAGTCGGGCTATTTCCTGCATAGATCAAGGTTTTTCTCACATCCCCCCCACCCCCATATACACACAAACTCACTCTCCTGCTGGTAATAGCTCATCTAAACTGACCACTCTCCAGGTTTAAATCCAAGTTAAACCAGAACATCTGGGGGGGGGGGGGGGGTTGGAAAAAACAAGAGGAAACAGGCTACCTTGCATAATGACTTAGCCACTCCCAGTCTCTATTTAAGCCTAAATTAATAGTATCCAATTTGCAAATGAATTCCAATTCAGCAGTTTCTCGCTGGAGTCTGGATTTGAAGTTTTTTTGTTTTAAGATAGCGACCTTCATGTCTGTGATTGCGTGACCAGAGAGATTGAAGTGTTCTCCGACTGGTTTATGAATGTTATAATTCTTGACATCTGATTTGTGTCCATTTATTCTTTTACGTAGAGACTGTCCAGTTTGACCAATGTACATGGCAGAGGGGCATTGCTGGCACATGATGGCATAGATCACATTGGTGGATGTGCAGGTGAACGAGCCTCTGATAGTGTGGCTGATGTTATTAGGCCCTGTGATGGTGTCCCCTGAATAGATATGTGGGCACAATTGGCAACGGGCTTTGTTGCAAGGATAAGTTCCTGGGTTAGTGGTTCTGTTGTGTGGTATGTGGTTGTTGGTGAGTATTTGCTTCAGGTTGCGGGGCTGTCTGTAGGCAAGGACTGGCCTCAGACAGAGACAAACACCTACAAGATCTCTGTCAAGCTTTCTTACAACTACAATACCCACCTGCAGAAGTAAAGAAACAGATTGATAGAGCCAGAAGAGTTCCCAGAAGTTACCTACTACAGGACAGGCCTAACAAAGAAAATAACAGAACGCCACTAGCGGTCACCTTCAGCCCCCAACTAAAACCCCTCCAACGCATTATTAAGGATCTACAACCTATCCTAAAGGATGACCCAACACTCTCACAAGTCTTGGGAGACAGGCCAGTCCTTGCCTACAGACAGCCCCAACCTGAAGCAAATACTCACCAACAACCACATACCACACAACAGAACCACTAACCCAGGAACTTATCCTTGCAACAAAGCCCGTTGCCAATTGTGCCCACATATCTATTCAGGGGACACCATCACAGGGCCTAATAACATCAGCCACACTATCAGAGCAGCATGCCCGGGCCGTGATCACAACATAGCTTCAGACAGCATGCTGGCACTCTGCCCAGCTTCCAAGCAATGCCCTGAAGCAAAGGTGAGAGGACAAGAAAAAAAAAAAAAAACATGTTTGATTTCAGTTTGGTAGCTAAAGGGTGATTATCTAATGGTGTGGACACCAGGCTGTACACAATCCACCCCGGTCTACACCGCTGGCTAAGTCATGGTTTGATGCTGTCTAAACCAACTGTTCACAAACACGATCACCCCGCCCACAGGATGGTCTCAGGTTCGTCCACCCCCTGGCTCTCTCCCGAGGGCACTAGGGAGGAAGCCGGTTACAGGATGGTGGTAAATCCTCCTTCGGAGCTGGACTCACCACGGAGCCGACCCTTGGCGGAGCGGGAGAAACTGGTTTCCTGCGTCAGCGGCCCGAAGCAGTTCCACATGTGCTCTGTTGTGACTTGGCTCCACAGACGGCCCCCTCCCGTACCCCACCCCCAGCCCAGCCCGCCTGAGCTCGGGCTGAGGAACCATTTGCGGGCTCCCCTGACAGAGGCATCAGCAAGCACAGCTATAAATAGCCGTATCAAAGGAACGAGACGGCCAGGCTGTCTGGATACCGGCAGCAGCCCTGCTCGTGCTGAAAGCTGGTGCCCGCGGCCTGGTCTCTGACCACAGAGACATCCCTGGGGTTCCTTCAATCAATCAATGGCCTTTCCCCGCTAATCCGGGTGGTTGCATTAGAGACTGCTGCAATGCACATGCTCCCCTCCCCACATTTGCTGCCCAGAGGGCAGAGGGATGTAAAGTGGGTTTGAGGACATGGACCTGCCCTCTGATAGCACAGCGCACCTGGTGTAACCCACGCTCGCTGTCTGGCTCTCGGCCCCCTCCAGGCCTGAACCGCACACAGAGGTTTGGGGCTTTGCTATGGGCAATGAGCTAACAAAGGGGGACCCTTTCATTCAGGCCCGTAGAGGGCTGCACTTTTAGGTCAGATGTCCTACAGCTGACCGCTCACCTAAGGTTTCAGAGTAACAGCCGTGTTAGTCTGTATTCGCAAAAAGAAAAGGAGGACTTGTGGCACCTTAGAGACGAACCAATTTATTTGAGCATGAGCTTTCGTGAGCTACAGCTCACTTCATGCATCCGATGAAGTGAGCAGTAGCTCACGAAAGCTTTCGCTCACCTAAGGGCTTGTTGTTACACCGGCAAGCGGCTGTGGAACAGAACCACAGGTCACTGGGCGCTTGTGAAGACAGAAGTTCCATTACGTACATGGGGAGCTCCATGGGGCAGGGCCCACTTGTCATTCAGTATTTGCACCGCACCTTGCACAAGGGGGTCCTGAGCCAGGACTGGGGTTTGAGGTGCTACAGGGATACAAAGAACAGACAGGTTACATGTCTCTCTCTCTTGGTTTATGCACCACCTCTCACAGGAGGATCTCCAAGTGCTTTACAAACATCACATCTACGCCCCCAGCCCACCTGGAGGCAGGTAAATATTCCCCTCAGTTTGCCTGTATGTTAACCAAGCCAGTGGCAGAGCCAGGACTGGAACTACGAGACCAGGCCCGGGCCTGTACTCCGACTGCCTCGTGGACATTGGTGGTGTTTCACTCTAGGGGAAATGAGCCTCACCAGAACCTTGACCTTCAGTTCCAGTCTCAGCACCGCGGGCGGCTTGTTGTTTAGCCTATTCACACGCTAAGAACCGATTACCTTGTTAACATCGGTTCTGACAGGGTATGGCTGACAGCATAATCATCAATCTGCTCCCCCCCCACCCACCCACCCGGTCTTCTGCAGAATCCCTTTTTAAAATAGGTTTGTTGCAAAACCCCCTTGAATTCTGGTGCTCTAAAGAAAGGTGAGAAACAGGCAGCGGACTAACGATTAACCCTCTGCACACAAAACCATGGGTCTAGTGGCAGTTAACGTCACTGCTCAGTCACATGCCTGCCATTGCATCCCATTCACTCCCAGGCTTCGTCAGGCCGCTGTCCAGTTGGGCCCCGCTCCTGCATGCTGCGCCATGTGGGTGTGGACCACTGAGATCAGTGGAGCTCTGTCTGAGTGGTGGTGTCCACCTGCACATTGGAGTTTCCAAGGCTGGAGGCTGAGACCGGAAGATCTTGAACGCAGGCAGGGACGTCGGCTGTATCTTTGCTAGTGCACTCTGAACACTCCCAGCTGTGTAGTTTAATTAGCTTCAGACGGTTGGTATGAGAATACGCGGGGCTGGGGAGGGACTGCGTGAAAGGAATAGCACTAAAAACAAACGCACATAAGAATGCTTTCCACTAATCTCCCATTTGCTTTAGGCTGACCAATGCCGATGCTGCTGTACTTGGGCAGGGGGAAGCGGTGGGTGGTGCTCACATTAACTACAACGGTGCTGTTTAGACGAACCTGGTGCTTCTAAACGAATCTCCTCCCAAAAGGCCTTTTCTCCCCATCCCCCTCTAGTGACTGGTAGAGGGTCTGCTCGACAGAAGTCTTTTGCCAAGTGCTATTTTTATCCAGGGCTTGAGGCATGAGTCTAAATTACAACAGGAGATGGCTGCTCAGACAGAGCCAGACACCTTGGGTTACACACCACTTCTCCAGTCACTGTCTGGAGAGCCTCAGCTCTTCCCAATGCTTCTACAGCACCCAGAATGCTGCTTTAAAACCAGTTCCCACCTTCCCTCTGGGTGGCTTATAGGGCTGGGGATCCCAGGGCTGGGGATCAACTCCTTCCTTGCTGGCCACCAAATAGAACTTCTGCGGCCTGTCATTCCCTGCCCCCCAAAAAAAAAGAATTCCAGCAGGCGACAAGGAAGTAGGACCGGCTGTAGTTTATTACAGACAAACACGCATAGGAATTTCCCTTGCTACACCAGTTCATTCACAGATAAAACCATCAGAGGACACAGGAGTGAAACGCACACAACAGCCAAGAGGGCCCAGTAGCCGCTGGTTCGATGCAAGAAACGCCACCAAGCCATCCAAGTGCGCGATGAGCTAAGAGACCTTTCAAGGGGGCTGCTGGCAGGACGGAAAATCCATCCCGAACCAGGAGATGACAGATGGACACAAGCAAGCAAGCCACAAAAGCAGTGAAATCCAACTCAGCCAACGATGGTGCACCATAGAAAGCAGTATGGATAAACCTGAATGGTGGCTGTCAAACATGAGTAGGGCAATAAACCTATTCAATGCAGGCAGGATCCACGCACTACAGTGGGGAATCCTCATTTCTCGGAGTCCTGTATTCTGGGGGGAGTCCCCTGGGGCCTCCCCCCAATACAAGCAGGGAAGCGAGTTCTGGGTCTACTTGCCTCGTGCTGACAGCGAATGAGAAGAGAAAACGCAGGAGTTGCCCAATACACTTGTTCCCGGCCCTCTGCATTTCTCTCTCTTTTGTTTGTCTTAAGCGTTGGAAACAAAATTAAAGTGCAAGTCACGCAGCACTCTGACGGCCGCGTGCTTCCCCTGGTCTCCACCAGAACTGGGGCACAGGCTCTTTCCCTGAGCTAGAGGCACCTTAGACCCGAGCTCTGCTTGCCAAGCAGGTCAAACCCCGGTGCCTGGGGTTTCTTTTGAGAGCGGCAAGCTCTCTCGACCCCAGAGTGCTGTTTTTAAATAATCTCTCTCACTCACTCACCCCCCGCAAGTAACACTATCGTGCACACGCACAATCAGATACCTGCATCCATGTACAATCTCTCTCTCTCTCTCTCTCACACACTCACACGCACCTATGTACAATCTCTCTCTTTCAAACACACACTCTCAAGACCACCCGTTACAATCACTCTCCCATATACACACGCAGATGGCTATGCTCACTCACACACTCCCCCTGTCCCCATGCCAATATTTCAACAAGTCCCAGACCCAGAGAAATACATTTTCATAAGTGTTAGCTGACTGTTCTGGTCTTCATTACAACTTGTAGTTCCTGTTGCAAGGTCACCTTCTAGACTTGGGCGACGATCTGACTTGGACTGCTTGCACTTGGCAGAACTTCCACAGATGTCAGTCAATGCCAATCTACAGGAAGCACCTTGGATGTTCACATGAAAGCCCTGCACGTATCCCGACAGGCTGGTTGGAAGGGTCCCTGTCAGACAGTTTCGTCCCCAACCGCCTCCTACTTTTGATAAAACTGAATATTAATAGAAATGGTTTTGTGATATTTCATTTCTTTAAAGCTTCTTGGTTTGGATTTAAAAATCTTCCCCGAGGTGTCTGCAACCCCAGCAGGGCAGCAGAGTGGATCTCAACGGGAAACTGACCAGAGAAACAAGCTAAAACTTATCAGTGCTTTCATTGTCCAAGCAGGATTTAGTGCACGGAACAAACATACAGGATTGGTGGCGAAGCGTGCGGTTGATTGTTAATATTATTTCAGTTGATATATAAGAACCCCCATCCTTGGAAATGGCCAAACCATTGTAACTGAAAATGTGCAAAAAAAAGTCAGCCAGAGGCAGCCACCTCACATGGAAAATTTCAGCCCAAATGAAACGGTCTAAGTTCTAAGCAATTGAAAACGTGGTCTTATAACGGTAAGAGCCAGGCAATCTTAACCATGGGCATTGCTACTTGTGCTACCTAGAACACACCAACGGGGAAGGAGTATTTTTTAAAATGATCTTTAACCTTCTATTGTTCCTCCAGGCTGCACCTTCAAGTAAGAATGTTGTTGAATGAATTCCATACATGGCTTCAGAACAGCTCTCGGATTCCTTTCTGAATTGGGGATTTAATTCTTTCCCATTGTGTTAGCAGCATCTTTCAATTGCAGGAGTCACCACAGGTCTTAGGAAAGTGCCAGGAGCAGGGTTATCAATTGCCCAGTAGCCTCAGGTTGAATGAAACTTGAATTTTGCTATGGCTAACGAAACACTCAGGCTCAAATTCTCAGCTGATGTAATTGTCGATTTCGAGAAAGTGTGTCTCCCCCCCCCCATAGGTTAGGGCTGTCTTTCAACTTACACAAATGCCCAGCCTAGGTCCAGAGGCCGGGAAGCCACATATTGAAAAGTGGCTTCTGACTTTGTGTGGCTCAATTTTCAGATGCTCAACTTGAGATGCCTTTTTTCCAGGCGTTACTTATGCGTTTAGCAAAAACAACAAGAAGTCCTTGTGGCACCTTAGAGATGAAAAAAATTTATTTGGGCCTAAGCTTCCGTGGGCTAAAACCCACTTCATCAGATGCATGCAGTGGAAAATACAGTAGGGAGGTATAAATACACAGCACATGTACATGTGTATATTCATGTGCTGTGTATTTATACCTCCCTACTGTATTTTCCACTCCATGCATCTAATAAAGTGGGTTTTAGCCCACGGAAGCTTAGGCCCAAATAAATTGTTTTCATCTCTAAGGTGCCACAAGGACTCCTTGTTGTTTTTGCTGATACAGACTAACGCAGCTACCCCTCTGCAACCTTATGGATTTAGGTATCTAATAGTAGCACCCGAATTTGGGCCATAACATATTGGCCCAAAACACTGACTAGGAAATAGGGCTTGAGATTTTCTTATCTAGCGTTGACCAGTCTTTCTATTTCCCCAAACGTTCACAGACAAACTTAAGTTTGGGTGGGTGCAGCAACAGCGGTGGGAAATTGGCTGCATCTTTTAACCTCATTTCCAGACCATTTAATGTTTAAACCTGTAAATGGTTTGTAACAATATTGTAACATTGTTTCTGCGCGTAAGCTGGATTCCATTGAAACATTGTCAGCCTTGACTTTTTTTTTTTTTAATATATCAAAGTTCTTGGATTGGGAATTTCCCTGTTTGTTTTTTTTAATGAGCACCAAAAGTTTAAATTGGGCTGGCATATGAGTTCCCCAGAAGGAGAGCCCTGTTCTCACAGATCCTGTCCAACGCAAGGTCCCCCCTCCTGTAGGCTTCTTGAGTCTGGCTGGGTTTCAGTTTAAGTTCTCCAAGCTTTGTGGTCAACATCTGGTGCAGAACTTAAGTGTGAGCTCCTCTGGGTTTCTATGGGCCCCTGAAACACAGGGGAGGCATAGCAGGATCAGAATGGCTGGTGCTGGCTTAGGCACGAGGGCAGAGAGGCGACAGCCGATGGGGCGCAAGTCAGCAATGGCTGATTCGGAGACACAGGAGCAAAGGTAGCAGAGTTGGGTTCAGGCATTGGTTGACCCTTCTGACCTTTATGCATGGGGCATGGGTGGTGATGGGGGCTGGCGGGACAGAGACAGTCAAAGTGCAACACAAAGGCAAAAGGAAACCTTTCCTTCAACCCACCCAGACAAGGCAGCTGCAACTTCAATACTAATCAAAGACGCTCAGACCCGGATATCAATCCGCGAGCGGTGCCCTGGTCAGCGAGCACCTGCAGTCACAGTTGCCACCGCCAGCTACGGCTACTTGCTGTTCTTGGTTTGTTTCTCTTGAGCCATCCGCCTCTGCTTCTGGGCTACACCGTACGGGACGTGGGCCGCGATGGTGCCACTCTCCTTCGCCCCCTCCACCTGGAACATCTGGTCGTCGAAGAAGATGTGCGGACGGATCTTCTCCAGCAGCGGACCCTTGGGGGCTCCAGCCAGGAACAGGGCTTCATCCGTTTCTAGTCCCCAGCTGCGGAGAGTCTTTAGGGCACGAGCCCCAGAGCTGGCAGCGCTCCGGGCAGTGACCAGGTAGGTGCGAATCGGACACTCCAGTCTCAGCCCCTTGGAGTAGAACTTCTTCTGCAGCTTCCCCAGGGATTCCAGAAAGCCCTTCAGTGGCCCCTACCCAAGCAAAGGGACACGGTCATTCACAGCTACCTTCATCCCTTCCCCACTCCCCATGCTTTGGGAAAGACCCTAACCCTGCTGTGGGAATCCTCTAGCCAAGCGTATAGGAACCAAGGCCCAGATCCTCAGAGCTATTTAGGCACCTAACTCCCATTGAGCTCCCCTGTCTTTCGAAGCCAGACGAAACCCAGATGAAACTCAGAAACCCAGCATCAGCCTCATCCCGCTCTGGCCCCTCGGCTTGTGCTCAGGGCTAATGGAGTGGGAATTGCTGGAGCCATCAGCCCATTCCCAGCGCTGCCTGCCCCAGACCTGGTTCCTGGGGCTGGCGGGTCGGGGGGCGATCGGCCGTACCTGGGCCAGCGGCTTGTTCTCATAAGCCTTTTCGTGTTCAAAAAACATGTCGAGGCCGTGCGCCTTCACAATCTGCTCCGACTCGTCCGAGAAGAGGACGGCGTCCCCGTCGAACGCCACCCGCAGCTGGCTCTCCGACACTTTCACGTCTTTGCTGGGGCTGAACATGGTGGCTGCGGCGATTCCTTGGGGGAGGGAACGAGAGAGAAAAACGTGGCAGGCGGCACGGCTCCTCCCGACTGCGCTTCCCAGGTCCTCCTACTGCGGAGCCGAGCAACAGAACTGGACACACACACAGAGCAGCTTACGCCCAAATACATCTGCGAGTCTCTAAGGTGCCACAAGGACTCCTCGTTGTTTTTACAGAGCGGGGACACTCCAACACCAGTCCTTACGTTGGACACTTGCATCTGGACCTTCACATCAGCATTTAGGAAAGCCAGAGGCACTTAGATACCTAGGTGAAGACGTGAGCCTCTGGATAAAGGGTCTAGTGTTCTGTTTAGGTGCCAGCCTCCCTCCATGTATTTAGTGGGGATTTGGGGGCGGCCGGGGGGAGCAAAGATTGCAGAACGTACATGGGTTTCCATCATTTGTCTCTGCATATCTTATAGGTGCTTTCAGCTCCTCAGCTGTTCCCACCGGCACGGAAGGAGTCAGTATCCATCCAGCAGCCAGCTGAGGAGAGCAGCCCACCTGCACTTTGAGAAGCTATAGATGTCAGCGAATGCTGCCGTTTCCATGGAAACGAGAGGGCCCACGTCGCCTCAGCAAGGGCAGGGGTGTGATGGAGGCAGGGTGTGGGACGCCTCCGCTACCCCGCTGGATGGAGATCCCGGGGCTGCTGGTCCTTACACCGCTCTCCTAGAGCGTGCCCCCCACCCGCTGCCACCCAGGGTTTGACCGGCAGACTCACCCTGTTCAATGGCCTCACTCACTTTCTCGGCATCAGAGGAGAGGTACAGGTTGGTGTGATAGGCCTTCAGGTAGCAAGTGGGGCTGTTCCCTCCCGTCATGCAGAACCTCTCGATGAACAGATCTGAGGATGGCCGGATGCACCAGATTAGCTGGCATGGCCCAGCAAGGGCCCAGACGGCTATCCAGCCCTATGGCGTGCAGGGGGCCCCAGCAGCTGCCACTGGTGGGGGAGTGAACCAGAGTGGGGATTTGCTCCCCCTCTGATGCCAGGCCAGAGGAAAGAGACGGCAAATGAGCACAGGGCAGCCTGGCCACCAGAAGGGTGGGGGGCCCCGTGGCTGCTGGCAACGATGATGCCCAGGCCAGCCCTGTCACAGATACTGACGCAGTAGTTCCACTTGGACACAACGCCTCATACCTAGTAGCTGTTGACACTGGTTTCCCGACACCTGTCAATAACCCCTTCACCGAGCCCCTGCACCACACTACACTTAGCAGTGTCCTCCTGTGAGCCATCCTCCTCCCAGACCCAGGAAAGCCCCAAAGGGGCACATGGTATTAATTCAATATTGACATCTATAGAGACAGGGCGGCCTAGTGGCTAGAAGAATAGGCTGTGACTCAGGAGGCCTGGGCGCTAATCCCAGCTCTGCCACTTGCCTGTGGAGTGACTTTGGGCAAATCACTTCACTGCCCCTTGCCTCAGTTTCCCCATATGTAAAATGGGGATAATGTCACTGACCTGCTTGTAAAGCACTTTGAGCTCTACCGATGCAAAGTGCTAGACAAGAGCTAATTATTATTATACTGCTTCTCTACCCTCCTATCATTCCTTCCGTTCCCAGGGTTATTCGCACCAAGAACTCAGATCTAAACTAGGGAGATGGCAAAATCAAGGTTGGTTTGAGTTTGGCAGAAACTCATCAGATGGCTTTTGACCCTGGAAAGTACCCAGGTGTGGTTTGATCCAGGTCTCATTCCATCCAAGTGCCCAGGAACTGCATACGCTGTTCTGATTTTGGCTTAATCGTCCCAAGAAGAGATGGCCCAAAATGGGGCAGATGTTGCCAAACCCCCATTTACCAAACCAGAAGCAAGGTTGATTCAGAGCTGGATCACATTTTATTGGTACCCTTGAAGACTGGAGAGGGTTAGTCTACAACCATCTTTAGCCTAAGCCACAGGAGACTGGGGCTTGCTGGGTGGTTTAACGGAATAGCGCGGGGAACAGAAGATAAAGCTTTGCCCTCCAGTTTCTCCATCATCACAGCCACTAACCAAAGACCCAGTGGCCACCAGCTCCCAGGTCATTTAAATGGTTCTGGCTCAGGGTCATTCGGTGCTTACCGTGATGATTGATGCTGTTGATCAGGCGGACCCCGACCTGGGCGTGGTTATTAGTCATGAGGACAATATCAAAGAGTTCTTCACCGTCGGGGTAGAGCTCTCGCAACTGAGTGTTGACAGCTTCAAGGGCCTACAAGTCCAAAGAAAGAGGGAAGAGTGATCTAGCCACCAGCTCATGCACATGCTCCTTAACAAGAGAAGTGAACGAGCTGAAACCTGATGCCCACTGATTTACATGTGGCTCTGTCTGCTTATAGTCACGTGTTCCTATATGCCCTCTACTACTATCTGCGTGTCCATGAACAGAGGATACCAAAGGTTGGAAGGAACCCATTTAGGTCTGTCCCTCAAGGGGAGTTAGCAATTTGTTTCCCCATGATGTATGTGTCTCCTAAGTTCTCATCTTTTAAAAATAAATTCGACAGTATTAGCTACTCCTGCTTCTGCCCCATCTTCCCCATACTCCATCCATCCATCCATCCATCCACTAACTCCATTGCTTTCTCTCTGAAATACGGATGCTCAGGTGCTTTCAGAGAAGACAGCCCTGTCAGAAGAGCATCCATATCTCCTTCCTCCATGGCCTTCAAAAGGCAGAGGAAGGGTCTAATCAAATCTTCTACACGACACAAAACAAGTACAGCCCATGACTCCTTGGGCACATCTAAAAAGCTGGCCGTTGGGAAGATTTTTACTCAAGATGAATTTTTCAGTTCTAATCCGTGCTGTTCAGTGGAAGCCATTACCCTTAAAGTTTTCTCAGAGTATTTTCCTTCTCTCCCAAGGTTTTCTAGATTCTTTGAACTGAATTCTGCTCTCTCTCTTACACCAGTGGGAATCCAGAGCAGTTCCCATTGTAGCCAATACAGCTATTCTAGATTGATAACACAGGGATGAGAGCAGAATTCTCTAAGGTTGGTGTTTACCTTCAGTTTTATCCAGGACACCATGAGCCTAAGTCCTTGTGCCTTGCTCCGGTGGTGGGGGAGCTTGGAAAGGCAGAGGATCTCAGGGGGCTGGAGCAATGGTGCTCACCTTGACAAATGGGAAGGCAGCACCAGGTAGGAAGGGTTCATTCTCATGGTCCAGCTGGTATTTCACATATGCCTCCACCCCATGCTCTGTGTAAATCTTCTGCTCTTCCTCCATGCGAAACAGAGCCCGCGAGGAGACTGCGATTGTTATTGCATTCTCAGGCTTTGGCTGCATGACAGAGAGAGACAGAAATTGCATCACTAATACTTATTTTCCATCAATGGTCACATGATTATGGACCCAGTTCCAGCATGCAGGGGTATCATCAAATGCCAGGCCAGAAATGGAGCACCAAGTCCACCCCTCTCCAAAGTCGAGGAACATCAGTTCTGGATCGTTCTCTAGATCAGAATGTAGGGATTGGGCATGTATCTATTAAAAACAAACCCATCCCAATCTTCTCACTTCTGATTAAACTCCATCTAGCATAGCCCTCTGGGCCCAAGATTCACATACACAGATTGCTTCCATTTCACTTGGGGGGGGCGACTGTGTGCTGGGAATCACACACAAATCTATATTGCTTGCTTTAAGGTTATAGGCAGGGAGCCAATGCTTGTCAGCACTTCACCCCAGAGTTCATTCTGAGCTGGAACATTTCCATTCCTTGCATTCTGGGGCTTCTCCGAGCCAAGAGATTTCTAGGATCAGCATCCTCAGTCCCATGGCCCCTCTGAGCGGAGACATTTCCATTCCCTGCACTCTTCATCAGCGGTCACTTGGCACCCACCCAACTGTTGAAAAACCTCTCCATGTTTCCAGTTGAAGGAACTCTGGGGGCCATCTCACATAGAATGTGATGGGTTTTTGCCTCCTGGTTTCATGCAGCATCTAGTGTCCTTTGACGTTAAAGGCCAAATTCAGACCTGGTGTCCATGAGTGCAACTCAGCTGAAGACCATGCATGGCACCTGATTACAACAAGCATAATTTGGTCCCTAGGGTGTCTCTATACCAAATTATGAAGTTATGGCAGGGGCATCAAATGAACAGAATAGCTGGTTGTCTCCTGGGATGCTGCAAAACTTCAACAGACAGAAGTATCCCTCCCCCTCATTCTGGCATTCACGGGGCACCTGGCATTCACGGTGCTGCAAACAGGGACTTCTGGGTAATTTTAAAACACTAAGCACTGCGTTGGGGAGGGAGTCAGGAAAACTACTTGACACAGTGCATTAGCAATGCTTGGGGCTTCCCATCAACACTGGGAAGAAACCATTACAGACCATGCCAGTTCAGCCAGAACTAAGCTATTATAAAGACTTTGTCCCAGGCATCAAAACCAACCAGTGCCGGCGATGCCTGGAAAGTGCCTGAGAAAGGCTGTTGTGTCTGGCTGGAAGGCAGTGAACAGGTATTACAAGCCCAGGGTGAGCCAAACCACCATTGATTAGCAAATGTTATTAATCTTTAAAGACTTGATCTACAGCCCACGGAGAAATCAAGAAGAGGCTTTTCATGGACTTCCATTAGGCGTGGCTTGGGCCCTGACACGTCTATTGTGCTGGAGGTGGCATTGGCATCTTGCAGAGGGGATGAAGACACCATCTCCCCCAGAGGAGTTTACACTCTCAGCTCTGAGTCGGCGAGAGGATATTAATCTCACGCCAGCCACGGAGGCGAAGTTGTGATGGGCTTGTGGCTTCTCAAAAGCAAAATGGCTTCTCCGTGGCAACTCGCTGGTTGACAAAATAATTGGAAGCGAAGCCTGAACGGTGACTCTTCTGCAGACACCCCAGCGATGTGCTGCCAAGAATCTAACAAAGCCGATCCCTCCTTGCCTGCAGTAAAGCCTGTGACAGTATTGGGGGCAGGGGGAGAGAAAAAGAGAGGCACTTGCAGAGAAAGCAAAGCCTGGCTCCTGGACAGTATTTTTATGGCCTCCAGGAATAAGTCATCCCTACCACTCATGGTTTAGCAGTGTCCAGGAGGAGGAGGAAGAGAACTCCACCTGAGACAGGGAAACCAGCCTGGCCTCTTTCATTTGGTGGGGAAATTTTAAATGAGACACCCCCCTGCCACTTTCAGAGTTCTCTCCGGCACATCAGAGACCGTCTATAGGGGGAGAGGGCCAGAACTGGCAGAGAATCTCTGAATCCTAGGTCAGACAACAGCTGAGCACGCTGTGGTTAGCAGCGATGCTGCCATGGACTTCTCGGGCCCACTCCTTGGAAACAAACCCAATGCAATAAATCAGGTTGACGCTGGGGAACAATCTAGCTTCTTGTGTTCCTTTGTCCTGAGAAAGACTGGGCCAAACCCTGCTCCCAATTTCACCAGTGGAGTTGCAGCGGCATAGCTGAGAGCAGAATCAGGCCCACTGGGCTTTCAAAACGGCCCCAAAATCTCAATGTGACATCTCGGGCACATACAGAGGCGTAGGGTAAGGGATTTTTATGCTCTGGGACACAGCAGCTTAGCTGATTGCAGGGTATTACTGATGCATTATGCTGAGTGCATTGGCTTGACTGATCCCACTCTTTGTTTAGGAATTTTTAGCTTAAATCAATATTAGAGAGATGACATGGCCGGGCTACAACCGTCTTATTGTTCATCTCGAGAAACCAGCTAAGGGGGCTGGGTCCATTCTTATCAGAGCTGATTTGAAATGCGAGTGTGTGTGTGTTCAGTGAACTGCAGCATACATGTCAGATTTGAGGTTTCCCGTGATTTCATGTAAAGAGGTTTGGGAGCGGGGGGCTGAACCTGGATGAAAACCTATGGCAAGAGGTTAAGATTTGGGGGTGGGGTATCTTAGGGTGTGGGTTATTACACGGAGACAGTGAAAACTAGAAACCAGACAGTATGGAACAGTGTGTTAGATGGGACCAACCCCAATAGGGGCAAAATTTGCAAACGTGCCTAAGTGATTTAAGTGCCTCAGTCCCATTTTCAGATGTCATTTAGGCACTTAAGAGCCGGTCTCATTGAAAGTCAATGGAGTTTAGGAACTGACGTGCTTAAGGGTCAGATTTTCAAAGAGATTCAGGCATCTAGCAATGCAGACTGGCACCTAGCAAGATTTCCAATGGGATTTAGGCACTTAGGTGCTTAAAGACTTTTTTCAAAAGTACCTAAGTGTGAGATTTTCAATGTTCCTCTTGGTTTATTTCAGCTCCGATTTCTAGACTTCCTGTTTACTAGGTTGTCCTGGCCAGTATTGTTATTTTGCAGTTGGTAGAGGTAGGTAAGCTGATGTCTTTCCCAGCCTGCTATACGAACACAGTCCACATGCTCTGCAAAATCCAAACTCACCCCCCAGCATTTGGCTTTATTAAAAACAGCAACACGAGAACAGAGATTAGCTCAACGATTCTCCGCAGGCTCGGCTGCTCTGAAGGCTTGGGCCTTCTCTCCAGCCTGTTCAGCCCTGATCCTCTACCACCCCGAGAGAGTCACTCCCACCTCCCTTGCAGCCAGCTGGGATGAAGAGTCACCTGCCTCCGTGCATTAGCACAACCCACCTACTCCTCTCTCAGCAGGATCAAGGCCAGTTAACAGAGCGATTTAGGCAGATGCTGCCAGGCTAATTATACAGCCCAGAAAACTGCCTTGCAGACAATAAACACTGAAAGTGTCCCTAAGCAGTGTTCATGCACCAGGACAGTGACCTGAAACCAACAGGACCCTCTCCATATAGCTGAAACAATGGGACAAAATTCTCCTCTCCAGCACTCCACCGAGCTTCACAGATGCACCAGAGAGGATTCGGGATTGTTCTGCAGGGATGCGCATGGACTGTTGTTCCCTAAAATGACTTCTCCTGGGCTTTGCTGGCGTGGCTATCTAGGACCGCAGATATTACGGTCATGGGGGACCACAACAGAATGTAAGATAGAGGGGAGAATTCATTCGCTCCCACTAGCCCAGGATTTTGGCCTAGTAGCATAGCACACCAAATACATAATTCACATGTGGCAAATAGTAGCAAATTTACCATTTTAAGATCGGTTACCCAGGGGGCCTTAGTTATTAACTAGTCATGGGCCAGCTCTTAACTCTAATTTGCATTAATAACTCCAGTGTCATGGGTCATTTATGAGCGAAGACATTAATTAATAACTATTAGAGGTCCCAAGTCAGTTCGTCACTAGCCTTTGGCAGTTAATCCAGTTCATGGGCACAGCTGCTATTACCTAAATTAGTTTTCTGGGTAAACCAAGATGGGCTATAGGACATTTGTATCCGCTTCCTGGTACATGACGGACAGCAGGGAAATGCATCCTCCACTTATAGCTGTTTAAGAATTTCCTGCAAGATGAAACTGGGTCAGTGTTGTGAATGTCACAACCACTTAGTTTGATCAGACAAACTCAGGGGGCTCTGGAAAGCCATTCCATGTGCCTTTTCAAAGACGCTGGGATTGGCGTGGTATGGCACAGAGAAATCTGGCTGTGCTTTCATACATGCATGGATCTCTGTGCTGCCCACACCTTGCCTGTAGGTCTATGCGCCAATTACGCCCTCATCTTGTGTAGCTATTTACAAGATGCTCCCGGTTGGCTCCTTGCCATTTAAAGGTACAGGCCCCCCCAAAGGTAAATTTCAGAGGTAATAAGCGCAGCAAGAAATGGATCATTAAGCCAGATACTCAGTTGTATCCCACCCTACATTTCTGACGTAGTCCCTGCTGTTTTGTAGCGCGTCAGTGGGCAGGCAGAGCTGTCCGGCATCATCCCTCTTCCACCATCTGGGGACATATCACCTGTCGAATCCTGTTCACGCCTGCTAAATACTGTGCACCTCTAGAACACTTTCTGCAGGAGGACTGTACATGTTCATGAATTAAGCTTCACAATTCAGGCTGGTCAGTTCACGGAATTCCCCCTTCTGTAGGAAATGCCAACCGTTACAATACATTTTTGTTCCAATTCGGAGCAAAGTCAGAAATTTTGAAGTCCCCACAAGACAAATAGCCCCAAAATTTTGATTTTGGGAGCAAAAAAACTAAATGTTTCAATAAGTCACCTCAATGCAACTTTTATATTGCAATATTAAGTGGCCGCTATACACATCACATTAACAGAATATTTAAATTCACATTTTAATACAAGTCCAAATGAAATCAAAGGGGCACTATTGACATGTTTCAACTCCCCCCCCCCATTGAGAAGTGTCACAAAACCAGCCCACCCCCCAAGACACATTTTGAATATGATAAAACTGCCT